TTTTTATACATTTTTAACATGATGTATGGTAACATCGACTTTCTTTTCCTAAAGAATCACAATTTACGTATGACGGCATTTATTTCTGTCTGTTATTCCATTTAGTTATGATTTTCTTTTCATCCGCATTCGGATATAGTCCGGCTACAGTGAAAATTATATTTTATAAATTTCACTAGTGGTTTATCAGAATATAATCATCTGATATATTACTAAAAAACACTGGAAAGCATGAAATAAACAATTTATAATGTTCTTCATGAATAGATAATTTTACACAATTTATAATATCTCTCATGAATAGATAATTTAACACACTTTATAATGTCTCTCATTAACAGATTTTAGATTTCACACAATTTATAATGTTCTTCATGAACTGATAAGTTTTACACAATTTATAATGTTCTTCATGAAAGGATAATTTTACATAATTTATAATGTTCTTCATGAACAGATAATTTTTACACAATTTATAATGTTCTTCATGAACTGATAATTTTACACAATTTATAATGTCTCTCATTAACTGATTTTAGATTTCACACAATTTATAATGTTCTTTATGAACTGATAAGTTTACACAATTTATAATGTTTTTTATAAAAAGATAATTTCACACTATTCATAATGTTTCTCAGGATTAGATAAATTTACACTATTTATAATGTTTCTTATGAACTTTTCAAAATATCTCTTGTAAAAAGATAAGTTTACACTATTTATGTCTCTTATGAAAAGATAATTTTACACAACTCATAATGTCTATCATAAAAACTTATGAACTAATTTCCATTGCTATCAATAGATTACAAATTTCAGATACAAATTTTTATGTTACCTGAATACAGGGGTGGTCTGTAAGACCAAGTTTGATATGTTTTTTTTACTTAGATAATTAATCATAAAGACTGTGCATTCTACTAATATTAAAACTTGAATTATTCTTTTAGATTATATTTTAAAGGTTTAGCACTATTATCTTTATAACACTGTAATACATTTCACTTATATTATCAATATAAGCATCATCATAAATTCATCATAATCATCATTGTTAATAAAAAATAGCCTATTAACTACAAATATAACAAAATATTACCTTTCTCCTAGTAATTATCTGTATCTCCAAAAGCAATGTATGAACATATTTTGGAACAAAATCTTATTTGCAAAACTCATTTTCATTTTCAAAAAAACATTACCCACTGCAGGGTTTCAATACTTTCGAACATTACATGCGTTTTTGATCGCTTACAAGTGCACACTTATCATTCAATAAAAACTGCAAGTGCATTTTACAAGTCGGATATCAAGACCACAAACTTTATTCACTACTTTATTCACTGTACAACTATATAGATATGAATCAAGTATTCCAGGTAAGAGTCATGTTCTTACATTGAAAGCTGACGAGAAGTTTAATCCGGAAAAATTAATCACCATATTGGTGTTTTGTGTTCAGGTGCCATGACTCAATACAACTAATACTAATAAACCGAAAGACAAAAAAAAAAACTAAAAACAAATTCACAAATATTTGTAAGAAATACATAGTATGTGCTGTCATCAAGGCCATTTCCATTTAATTATTTGTTTCTTATATTTTAAAAGATAAAATATAACCTGAAAAATATTAAAAATTTCTTTGATTTTATGCAAGACAAGTATGGAAATAGTCCTTAAACTAAATACCTGTTCCTTATTCAAAACTGAACAAAAGGAAATTTACTATATACGTCCTCCTTTTAAATCTGCTTGTTTTACATACCTGTGCTTAATGGCCATTTGTCTTAAAAGACCATGTTCTTATTTCAAAGCTCAGTATTTGAAATAAATTTTAGCCAGAATTCAAAAATCATCTCTCAAATACACAAATGTATATATGTTATTGGCTTATAAATGTCTTTATTATAATCAATATTTTTCTTTACAACAGGTTCAAAAATTAAAAAAAAATGCAAATGCATGCATATACCATGCTATGTTGCATTTTTGTTGGCGGGGGGGGGGGGGGGTAAGGGTTTGGAGGATATGTTTCAAGAAATGATTTTATGGGGTTTCTATACATAATTTTACAAAAAAAAACGCTTAATCAGATAAGAATGCAATACATTTTTGTCTGTTAACAACACTCTTTTTTTGCCTTTAATCTCAGAGGAAATCCCTGTATCTAATTATTTCATTATCATAAAATTTGCATTCAAAATTCTTAAATGAAATTTTTGCTTTATGCTGGTTTTAATGCTGGTTTTTATGCAAGTTTTTAATGTTATAATAACCTTTTTTTCTTATTATCTAACTTTCTGTGAGTAATAAGAAAAATATAACACAATAAATGCTTCATGGTACCAATTAAACAGATTTATATAAGGCCAAAATAAAATATGTTTGTTTGCTATTACTGGAGATTTTCAAAATTAAATTTTTAGAAAAAATAATTTTTAATAAGCAGAGCTACTGTCATGATCACTTGGCCGTGTCAGCACTGATTACATAATTAATAACTTTACACTGACATAGCTACATTATAAAATATTACAAAAAAATCTCCACAAACACTTAAAAAATCTCTATAAAGATTTTTTAGTAAAACCCTATAACAATCTATGAAACCCTCAAACCTCTCTGTTAGACCAAACAAAATCTCACTGAAAACATTCTCTGTTAAAACCTTATAAAAATGTCTGCGAAACTCTTAAAATTTTATATACTTTTTGTACCTGTGCATTGAGATGCACCTTATTTACAACCTTGAAAGTAAAAGTAGTGTTCAGCAACACAGGCAGATTAAGAATTGTCTACTTGGCTAAGCATACATCAACGTTAATCTTTTATCTGATAAAATACATGCATGCTAGGCGTATAGAAGTAAAAACATTGCAGCTTATCAATATTTTCCCTTACATCAATCAATCTCCTCATATTATAGCCAATTCTTACACGGAATAGTTTTTTTTTAAAGGCCCATGACTAATTTCCACATATTCTTACAGAAAATAGGTTTTCTTAAAGGCCCACAGCAAATTTCCACATTTTCTTACAGGAAATATTTTTTTCTAAAAGGCCCACAATGAATTTCCACATATTCTTACAGGAAATAGTAACTGTTTTTCTTAAAGGCCAACAATGAATTTCAATAATCACATTCTCTCAGGATTTTTTTTTTCTTAAATGCCCAGAATGACTTTCCACAAAATGATCCTACCTCATAATTTCAAATTTAAATGATATCCATTTTATATTTTTGCTATGTCTGATTAAAAGGAACAAGTAATACGCCACGGTCACCAGTATACAGCCTGAGACCAGTATGCACATTTGTGCAGTTTGACAAGGCACTTACTGTTGCATGACTAAATTTTAAATTTTCATCTTAATATTCCAAATATTGAAAATGGATAGTCCCCAAAATGGAAGCTGGACAAGTCCATTTTAAGATATTCAGCAGGTTAAAGGATAATAAACAAACATTGTTAAAATATGATAAAAATAATGTAAATTAATAGTCATTCTCTACTGTTACATTAATTAACACATAATATAAATTTTGTCAGTTTAATGCTTTGGATATTTTTTAACTTAACAACTAGATGTATGCCACTTTAACAATGAAGTGTTAAATTCAGCACAACTCCAGATAAGTGTTAAATTGTTTCTGAAAAGTTAAAAATTTGTTCATTTGAGTCAAGTATTATGTTTAAACTTACTCACCTGGAAGTGTGCCACTTTAAAATATCAAAGTTTGGAAAAACAACACCATGCACCTTTCTCAATTCTGTAATTCTTCGGAAACACTCCCTTCCATTCTTGTACATTTACCACGTAGGTGACAAATTCCATCCACACTGAAAGAGAGTATTATAATATTATATATCAAGTTAATAATACATGACTGTTAAATGGTTTTACTTATCTATTTACTCTGTAACATAAAAGAATACTTTCACTGTATAGACAGATAACATTATGTTTGTAACTGACCTAAGTATTGTATCTGTATAGTTCAAGCTAGAACAGAAATTCGCTGTTCATGTCATCAGGGCCGAGCCCACCCCTCTCAGTAGAACCACTTACCTATATTAGCTTGCTAGAAAGAACTTGATGTTCCTTAACTGGATTCAAGCTCACAGAAGTGGAAGGTAAGTCATTAACTAGAACTCCACGAGTTGGATGTGTCACCTTGTAAAGAGTATAGCTGTCACTCTGGCATTTTCTTCTTAATTAAATATAGGTTGTTTATAAACACTGCTCTTGCAATGTACATGTACCTTTAACTTTAGTGGCATTTGAAATTATTGTAAAAATGTTATAATAGGATTAATAAATCTAATATTATCAAAAACATGGAAAAGTTTTACACTAACAAAACAAATGGAGGACTCTGTGATGGATTCTTAAGCACTGCACTTCAGCTCAATGAAAAAAGCTTGCATACAATATTTAGAGTTAATCAAATTTATAGCAACCAAGTTATGCTCTGGACAAGCCTATTAAGTATGAAAATTAACAAAGGGCAATAACTCTAAAATCATGAAGTGCAGAGTACAAGTTCTTGTGCACTGCACTTCTTCTCAATAAGATCCATCATCCTATGAAGTTTTTATATTAAAGGCAAAACATTGGAAAAATATTAGATTTATGTCATTCTTCAATAAATGTCATTGATACAGCAAAAATATGTTAAATTCAGAAAGCGGGATGTTGAGGGAGGATAGATTGGAAAGAGTTAGGGTCAGGCATGTAGGCCTAATGTCATTTCAAACTTGGGGATGGTTTTAACTTTATAATAAAACTTGGTCACTTGTGATGTTGAACATGGACCAACAAATAACCCCATTCATTTCACCTTACATGGCTAATTGTAATATTGTTTCTAAAAAAAAAACTTGCCAAGATATTTACACGAGACATTAAACTAACATTTAAGTAGTTTATTTCAAGAAAGGGAAGTAAATACTGCAGCCTTATGAACATCATTATAAGACTTTAGAGTTACCTCCCATAAATCTAAAAATATCCAAGAGAGACAGTACTGGGAATTCCCCTTTGTGAAAAAGAAAGTAGACCATTTTTATTGAAAAATAAGTAAGATTTAGACATAATTGATCATACTTACAGGTAAAATTTCTTTTTCAAAACATTACAGACATATCCTTTTCAATATTTATTCACTCTATTTTAAGAAACAAATTATTTGGGATCCCATAATTTAAGTTGTGTAATTTGGGTTCCCAACAAATGTAACCTGACAAAATTATAAACCTGTTCAACTGTGAACAAAGAAGGAATAATTCACAAATCATGTAGATCTATTAACAAACTTAAAAATTAAAATGGGAACTTTCATTTCAGGTAGTAACATTGTTTTTTTGTTGGTTACATTCACACATTGTTGTAAAATACTTTTAAGTTAAAATGTTTTTCTTCATCACTTGTCCAAACATTACACTGATGTCTCTTTTGCAAATCTAAATAGTTTAACTACATAGATGACCTCATTTAAAGATTCAACTTGTAATAAGTAAAAAATGCCTTCATACATTTCAGTTCCACACTTTAGCAATAAATCATAATAATGAATAAAATCTACAAAATTTTCCAAGTTATTCAAATGTCGCCTATCATTTTAGTTACATTACTTCAAGATGTCAGCTGTGGGTTCAATTTATGTTACCCTAATTAATTCAGTATGGAGGGTTTGACCCATTTTAGAGATGTTCATTTTTCCTGCTGTGAAACAGTTGGAAAATGAATCCCCCATCCAAAATTATCTCCTGGACCATGTCTCTGACAAATTTAATCATTCCTGACAAAAATATGTGAGAGAGCTATCTTGATAGTTTTCTGAAGATTATTAGTGGTTCTATTCATGTGTCCATCAATAAAGTATAGAGGGTATGTAATCAAATCTATAAACATCATACAAAAGTGTGGAATATATACACAATATTTAGCCTTTATCTGATGACAATTATGATATACTTACTGCAGACTTGTTTTCTTTTACAGGATATATCAACAATGGCAACCATCACATTTACCAAATCTGAACAAAGAACAAAGTCAGAAACCAGCTCTGTTATTATAAAGTCTTCAGAACACAAAACCAATCAGAACTCTGAAAATAGCGCTGAAATAAATGATTCAAAAATGAAGAAGAACAAGAACGCCAATTTAAGGAAATCAAAATCGGCACAGAGTTGTGAAAACCTAGAAACAAAACATGAAGAAAATCAGGCCAAAGATCAGCATGCCTATGAAACACAAGTTTCAAAAGCAGAAGTTGATGGTGAAACAGACAGTGCTATAGGTTCTAGCAATTACAGTTGTATGTCACTTGATTCATTACTCAGTAATTTTGATGACCAGCTTGATTTGGAAGAAACAAAGCCAAAGGTTTGTGAAGAGGCAAAAGGCTCAGATTATCGCAGTCCTTCCTTCAGTTCCAGTGCCACACCACCATTTTATTATACACCAAAAGTCCCTGTACCCACTGCTACTGAAGTGTATGATGTTAAAAGGAACGTTAAATTCAAGCAGAACAAGATACAGCCTGTCCCTGAAAAACCAGAATGCCACGTATTCCAGAGTCACCTATCAGATCAAAGGGTGGCTGAACAAACAGAAATAGATGGAGAAATATCTCTAGCACAATACTTACACGTTAATCCAGAATTGAGTGAAGAATCTTCATTAGCTTCAAGCATTACAGCATCTTCCCTGTCTTCTTGTTCAAGACGTAAGTAGTCCAGTGGGGTTTTTTTTACCCTTATTTAGTAAGTCCAGGCCTCAAGGCTTTAAATCTTTTTTCTGAGTTTTGACTCAAAACTAAGGACTTTCATTAGTCAGTATATAAATTATTCTTTACTGGTTTCTGACCAATCAATTTCTGACAGTATTCTTTAGAAAATATGATTTTTCAATGCCTTTAATAGTTGAAATGAATATGCAAAGCAACACTGTCATATCAAAATCAGGAATATCATTTAGCAGTTTGCTTTTCACAACAAAATTATTGCTAGCTTATTCTTTTTGCAACCAATTATGATGCAAACCATTATGAGGTAGTAAACTGAATTTATTTTTCAATCTCTAAGAATTTTGCAGCATGTTTAAACATCAAACCTATGGAAGGGTGATTCTAATTATGGTGTTACAGTTACATGCTCGTTTTAAGCCATGAAAGGAAATTTATTTTAAACATTAATATTTATTTTAAACGTTAAATTATCATTGTACTTGACTTAGATTGTTTCATTAAAGAATCTCGCTAGTGTTTCTGCATGAACAAATTTACACTAAGACTAATGAAAACTTTTTGTTCTTACCAATTTCAGGTGGAATGTCAGACTTTGTCATTCTTCACACTGATGATGATCTTGAAGCAGCAGGTTCTTTTATGGAGCATCTTCAAAGAGACATTGGGATACCAGACCTTACTGTAGATTTGCTCAGTAACATTGATGCAGGAAAACCTGGGATGCAAAGTTTGGCAACTTTACATGATAAATATAGATACATTTTGACATATGTCACAAAGAATCTTGAAAGTGATAAATATTGTAGGTACTTGGATGAAATTGTGTTGACATTAGGTCTAAGGGAAGCAAATGGGAAAGAAGAAAGAGTTGTGCCAGTATTAACCAGACAAGGTTACTGTAACATTATAGAACTAAGCATACTTGGTGGACTGCAATATTTCAATTTCCGTTCAAGTAGCACTCTTATGAGTGATTCATATGTTAACTGTGTAAAAAATCTTGTTAAAACAGGGAGAGCTAAATTTCCTTGAAGCAAGGTCTAGAATAATCCCTATTCATTTTTGTAATAAAACTACATACATGTAATTTAATTTTGAAACTTAGTTTGTCTTGTTCCTCAAAGAGAATAAATAAAGCTCATAGTGCTTAGAAGTGTACTTTGTGATGAAAGGGTGTCCTTTGTGAGTAGCTCCTACTTCTCAATATTTTCTTTCAATAATATAAATTATAAAACTTAAATCTCAAGGCAGATTTACAACAAATTTACAGGAATGATCCTAAGGTGGTCCTTCAAAAATGATATAAATGGTTCCAGTCTAATTGTCAAATGCACAAGATACAGAGCACACACAAAATTTTGAAATTCATAGGAAAGGACATTAACCTTAAGGAAGGTCAAACCTGTGTGCTGCATATCGTCTCTTTATGGTTAATATTTATGCCAAGTACAGTCCGACCGCGGTTATTCGACAACCCTTTATTCGAATACCCGGCATTATCCGAAGTAGATCAGCGGTCCCGTTTTTATCTCTATGTAAATCAATATAAATTCAAAGATATTATTCGTAATGCATTATCTGAATACCTCCTATTTTTCTAAGTAAAATTTTGACCCCGATTATACAATTATGAAGAAATTTCACACCTATTATTCGATTTACCCTTATCGAAAATACTAGAGTTTACCTGTAAATACCGTATTGACAACATGGCCATTATCAAGGCTTTGTACGAAACGAAACAATACACTATGTAGAATAAAATGCAAGTATTTATGTCTTCAAAACCAATAAAAATTTACTTTTATGTATCTTTTCTTGAATATTTATCTTTCTCAATTGATTGCAGGAAACACGTTTGTTGTAATCGGTAGTTATCCTATGATTTGCCAAAGTGGAGTAGTCTTCGTCTATCAAAATTTTCGATTTCCATTCTTGGAACCCATCGATTATTCGAAGTAAATTTTCAGTCCCCGTCACTTCGAACAAGAGCCGGTTGAACCGGGTAATGCTCCCCAACTAGGTTTTGGACACAGAAAAGTATATTTTTCATAGTTTTAAGAGTTATATCCCAGACAAAGTTCAAAATGTGATAATTTTAAACTTAGGCAAGGCAGAGTTACTGTTGTTTACTGCACTTCTACTTAATGAGATCTAACAAACGACTTGCACGTGACACGTTGTCTGAATATGGTGATCATTTCTGTGAAAAAGTAGTAAAATCCAACCCGAATGCTGCAGGCGACACATCCTCTCGATATGGTGATCATTTCTGTGAAAAAGTTGTAAAATCAGACTTCAAATAACAAAGTTATGGGCCAGACATGATTTTGCTGCAAGGTCATGCTGTGACCTTGACTTTCAACGTAGTGACCCAAATGTTGTGCACGACATGTCGTTTCAATATGGTGATCATTTCTGTAAAATAGTTGTAAAATCCATCTTCAAATAACGAAGTTATGGGCCTGACACGATTTTGCTGCAAGGTCATGCTGTGACCTTGACCTTCAAGGTAGCAACCCAAATGTTGCGCATGACACGTCGTCTGAATATGGTGATCATTTCTGTGATATAGTTGTAAAATCAGACTTCAAATAACAAAGTTATGGGCCGGACACGATTTTGCTGCAAGGTCATGCTGTGACCTTGACCTTCAAGGTAGCGACCCAAATGTTGCGCGCGACACATCGTCTCAATTTGGTGATCATTAGTGTGAAATAGTTGCAAATTCCGACTTCAAATAACAAAGTAATGGCATGGACACGATTTTGCTTCAAGGTCATGCTGTGACCTTGACCTTCAAGGTAGCGACCCAAATGTTGCACGCGACACGTCGTCTTAATATGGTGATCATTTCTGTGTAATAGTTGTAAAATCCGACTTCAAATAACAAAGTTATGGCACGTACACGATTTTGCTTCAAGGTCATGCTATGACCTTGACCTTCAAGGTAGCAACCCAAATGTTTTGCGCGACACGTCGTCTCAATATGGTGATCATTAGTGTGAAATAGTTGCAAAGTCTGACTTCAAATAACAAAGTAATGGCAGGGACACAATTTTGCTTCAAGGTCATGCTCCGACTTTGACCTTCAAGGTAGCAACCCAAATGTTGCGCGCGACACGTCGTCTAAATATGGTGATCATTTCTATGAAATAGTTTTAAAATCCGACTTCAAATAACAAAGTTATGGGCCGGACACGAATTCCAGACGTACGTATGTACGTCCGGACTGACGGACGGACACTCACAAAATGGTACTTATGTGACTTTTCCTTTGATCTTTTTGGCCATTTTTAATCACACAAGGCTTAAAACAAGATTGCATTTGAGAAAAATGCTATGCCACCGCATTAATACAACACTAAATAGTAGTGTAGGAACAGATTTTTTTTGTTTCTTTACAATTTTGAAGATTGTCATAAAGCATAGATCCCTGACCTATCTTATTCTTATTATCAGATAAGTGGTTAAATCTAATGTTAACTCAATAAAAGATCAGAGTAGGAATATATCAATGCACTCGAAGTCTAGTGAATTTGGTGGTGAAGATCATATTTCACACAGCCTAAATTTCATGACTAAATCAAAAAGGAACAAACACAGTAAGACACTTTGTCAAAATCTAGGTCAGCTGAAATCAAAGTTCACTCAAATTTCATAGCTGTACATCAAAGGACAAGAAAGTAGGTCACATCAACAAAATCTAGGTCACCTGATATCAAAGTTCAATTTTACAACTAAAACTGTGCACATGGTCAAAAATTTCATTGCTGTACATCAAAGGACAAGAAAGTAGGTCACTGTCCCTTGGGAAGGCAAAATTTTGGACGCAAGGGTTTAATTCAAAAACAATCTTGATACAGGTCCACTAAACAACATTTTCAAGTCAAATATCTAAGCTGTAGGCTTTCTTCCATTCAGAAAACATTTGTTTTTATTTTCTGTTTTTTACTATGTGTACATAATGAGAATCACTGCCCCCGGGCAGGGCCAATTTTGACACCAGGGAAAAAATTTGAACAACTTTAGTAGAGGACCTATAGATGATATTATATAGCAAACATCAAAGCTCTATCCCTTGTTCCTTCAGACAAAAATATTTTTTTTTTTTTTTACTATGTGTACATAGTGAAAATGCAATGACCCCTGGGGGTGGGGCCAATTTTGACCCCAGGGCTATAATTTGTACAATCTTGCTAGAGGTTCACTACATAATATTTCAAGCAAAATATCTTAACTCTAGTCTTTGTAAATTTAAAGAAGATGATTTTTTAAGTTTTTTACTTTATACATATAAGGAAAAACCTATGGCCCCCGGGGCGGGGCTAATTTTGACACTAGAGGCAAAATTTGAACAACTTTGGTAGAGTTCCTATAGATTATAATCATTTAACAAATATTAAAGCTCTAAGCCTTGTACCTTCAGACAATAAGATTTTTTACTATATATAATATTTAAAATCAATGACCCCTGGGGCGGGGGCAATTTTGACACCAAGGGCTATAATTCAACAACAATCTTGCTAGAAGTTCACTTCACAATGTTTCATGCAAAAATATCTAACCTCTAGCATTTGTCAATTGCTAGAAGAAATTTTTTAAAAGTTTTTACTATAAGTTTTTACTATAATACAGTGTACATATAAGGAAAACCAATGACCCCCCGGGCGGGGCCGATTTTGACCCCAGGGCTATAATTTGAACAATCTTGGTAAGGGTCTACCAGACAATGCCTTATGCAAAATATCTAAGCTCTAGGCCTTTTGGGTCTTTACAAGAAGGTATTTTTAAGTTTTTACTATATGTACATATAGTGAAAATCAATGACACTCGGGGCGGGGCCGATTTTTGACCCCAGGGCTATAATTTGAACAATCTTGGTAAGGGTCTACCAGACAATACCTTATGCAAAATATCAAAGCTCTAGGCCTTTTGGGTCTTTTACAAGAAGGTATTTTAAGTTTTTACTATAATGTACATATAGTGAAAATCAATGACCCCCGGGGCAGGGGCAATTTTGACCCTAGGGCTATAATTTGAACAATCTTGGTAGAGGTCTACCAGACAATGCCCTTAAACAAAATATCTTAAGCTCTAGGCCTTTTGGGTCTTTACAAGAAGGCATTTTAAGTTTTTACTATATGTACATATAGTGAAAATCAATGACCCCCGGGGCCGGGCCAATTTTGACCCCAGGGCTATAATTTGAACAATCTTTGGTAGAGGTCTACCAGACAATGCCTTATGCAAAATATCTAAGCTCTAGACCCTTTTTAGTCTTTACAAGAAGGTATTTTAAGTTTTTTACTATATGTACATATAGTGAAAATCAATGACCCCCGGGGCGGGGCAGATTTTGACCCAGGGCTATAATTTGAACAATCTTGGTAGAGGTCTACCAGACAATGCCTTATGCAAAATATCTAAGCTCTAGGCCTTTTGGGTCTTTACAAGAAGATTTTTTAAATTTATTCTTTTAATTCTTTTTGGTTGCCATGGCAACCAGATTTCTGCATGGAATGAAATTCTTTGAACAACTTTGGAACCACTTCACCCAAGGATCAATCCTGCCAAGTTTGGTTGAAATTGGACTAGTGGTTTTTCACGAGAAGATTTTTTAAGTTCACTATATAATCTATATAACACACACACACTCACACAAACAAACACACACACATACACATAGGTGAATCGCTATATGCCACCGCATCGCAGATGCTGCGGTGGCATAAAAAGACACACAAGTAAAAACGGAATGAATAGGATCAAAGAGAATTTACTGTTATCCATTTTTCTCCAAGTCACACAAGTACCACTGGGTTCGTACGGACTGACGTCTGGATGGATGGACAACCCGACGACTATATGCTCCCCCAAAATTTTTAGGGGAGCATAATAAACGGGGTTGGACTGTAGTTTCATTTCCTTCCATCAAATAAATATATACAGACACAAAAGTGCTTACAGACAAATGGACAAACAACCAAGGGCATAAGAATATACGCCAAATTATTTCAGATATATAAACACTTTTCAGCTCGACTTTTTAACTAGAGCACCGCATAGGCGTGGCAATT